TTCCTGAGATGAGGTATAGTGATGAAGAAGAACAAGATAATGTTCCTATGGATGCTTTTATTGTCAGAAGAAGGGAAATAGCCACTCCTGAGTCCTCTGCTAAGCGACCTACTACTAGGTTGCAAGCCAAAGAGGCTTATGAGTCTGCACTATAAAAGAGCAAAAGGAGCAGTAAGAAGAAAAAGAAGAGGTTGGTGAAAAATGGAGAAGTAGCAGGTGACAAGGACATTCTTGTGGTAAAAGTTGACGAGGAAGCAACAGAGGAACCCAGTTCCTTGGTTAAAAGGTCCAGAAGAAGAAGCAATCTGCTTCAGTGGAAGATGTTACTACCCCCTGTTCAAGATCAGCAAAAAGTGGTGGAAAGTTGAAAGATTTTGTGAGTGAACAATTATTTTCTAATGAGGATGTGTTGGACAAGTCTAATGTACAAGGAAAATTGAATGTGAAGTCTGGAAGGAAGTTGGAAACTGTGAGGGAACCTGATTCTGCAAAGAAAGTGAAGGGTGAGGGTATGTCTGCTACAGAACGACTGAGGAACCAAAAGGTCTTGTGGGGTCGCACTTTTGACCCAACAATCTCTGAAATGGCCGGAATGAGACAAATAATTGAAATGGTCGAGTTTCAATGGTGGGGGCATCTGTTCTAAGTGGATGTGCCCAAGGTCTATGAGAATGAGGTCCAAAGCTTCTATGCCGACCTTTTTCCTGTTGACACTGACCATATATGTGCCTTGGTCAATGGAGTGGATATTGTGTTGGATGCTACCTTGCTTGGGGACAATCTTAAGGTCCCTGTTGCTGGTAAATCTTCTGTGAAGAATGTTTGCGGGTCAAATTTCAGGAATGCTACTGTGAAGGAAGGTGCAGCCCGGCAGGGGGAACGGGTTCACAAGAAGGCCTTGCTTCCTGTTTATCAGTTATTGTTCGAGTTGGTGAACAAGGTTCTTTTACCCCATGCTGCGAGAAGGTCTATTACTTCCATATCTGACTTGTATCTAATAGAAGCACTGGATGGGTTTAAAGTTGTAAACTTGCCTGCCATCATGATTGAGCATATGCAGAAGGTGGCCACTTTTAAGGATGGAAACCATGGTCTTCCATATCGGTTTCTTCTTACGCCCGTCTTGAAGTTCTTCAAAGTGCCATTGGGACAGTTCAAAGTAGGGACCAAGAAGCAGACCTTCTCTCAAACAACTTTGGAGGAATGTGAGTGTATCGAAAAGAATGGAGGAATTGGCAGGACTTCGACAATCTCTCAGCTCATTAATGCTCAAAACAGTGCAACTGAGGAGATTCGTAGGCTGAAGGCAAGGAATGCCATACTAGAAGGTCAGCAGGCCCAAGGGGGTCCAGGTTTAAATGAGGAGATAGCTCGTCTGACCAAGGAAAATGCTAATCTCAGGGCACAAGTGGAAAACCTGAAGGAGAAACTGCTCACCGAGCAAACATTGGCAAATGCCCGAATAGATCTAGTTCTCAACACCCTTGCTGCAGCCTCCAAGCCCTCTCCTCCTAGTGTCCCTTAGGCAACCCTTCACTGACCAGTTTCTGGATTAATTCTGTTCTTGTTTTGTTGACATTGGCAGTTGTTGTTTGGTTTTTATTTCTTTTTGTGGTATGGATGGGATGTACTTGTATTGCTCCCGCAGAAATCAGTCCAATTTTTGTCTTTGCTATATAGCAAAGGCATATGTTTTATAAAAAAAACTATCCTCTTTTTGCTGTTTAATGCTTATTCTTCTCTGTTTCTCTTTTCTATCATGTTGTGTGCACATATGTGGCATGAGTTAGCTAGGCTAGACTTCTTTATGCTAATTGCCTGCCAGTGTATTTTTAATGATGCCAAAAGGGGGAAGTATAACGTAAGGGGGAACTAGACTTCATTTAACAGGGATCTGTTTAAGGGGGAAATATAAAGTCAGAGGGAACTTGTGAAGTTCCTGTTACTTCATCTGGTTAGTCTTGCTCTAAACATGTTTTATCAATTTCTAAGTTTGTCATCAACAAAAAGGGGGAAATTGATGGGTTTACAATGCCTTAGCTTTGTGTTTGATGATCTAACAAACTTACTGTCAAAGAGCCAGATAAGGAACCTAACTCATTTGGTACTCAACTCAAATCAACGGATTCTAGCTAATGAGAACGGCTACGACTTCAGAAGATAAAGAATCAACACAGGGACCCACTACAAGAAATCTGCCTTTTAGTGGCGACCAAAGTCGCTACAAAATCATTAATTGTCACCACTAAATGTTTATAGTAGCGACTATGGAACTGCTGCAAGTACTTCCAGAATGTTACTAGTGGCGACAACATGAGGTCGCCACAGAATGTATACATTTTGTGACGACCTTGTCGCTACAAAAATAAATGTACTCGCCACAAGAAAGAGTTCCACCAGACTGATTTTATTGAAGTCGCTACTGAAGAGTAAGATTTAGTGGAGACAAAGTCGCCACAAAAACAATTAGTCATCAGTGGCAACTCTAATAGCGCTACTGTAGAGTGATATTTAGTGGCGACTTAGTTGCCACAAAAATGGTTAGCCATCCGTGGCAACTCTAATACCGTTACTGAAGAGTCACATTTAGTGGCGATTTAGTTGCCACAAAAATGGTTTTCCATTAGTGGCAACTCTAATAGCGCTACTGTAGAGTGACATTTAGTGGCGACTTAGTTGCCACAAAATGAGAAATCATTAGTGGCAACTCTAATAACGCTACTGAATAGTGATTTTTTGTGGCAACTCTATATCGCTACTGAAAACTGATTTTTTGTGGCAACTGAAACTCTCCATTAATGTTACTCTAGTAGCAACTGAATACTAGAGTTTACATTAATATATAAGTTTAAGATCATCCAATAGTATTTAATAAACACCAAAAGAATTTCTTAAACCAAATACTAAACACTTCCATTACTAAAAGTTCAGTTACATATATACTATGCAATACTTCATTTTCATTGTAAGCATATACATATAACCAAAATGCAAAATATTGAGTGCCTTAGCTTCAAGCTCCTCCGCATATACACTACGTAATATATCATTGTCATTGTACGCATATACATATAACCAAAAAGCAAAATATTGAGTGCCTTAGCCTTAAGTTCCTCCGCATATGTACTACGTAATACTTCATTGTCATTGTACGCATTTACATATAACCAAAAAGCAAAACATTGAGTGCCTTAGCTTCAAGCTCCTCCTTCATTGTCACCACTGTTTAAGAACCTTGTCTCTATTATTAAAGAAACAAATAGAAGATCACATTGTTAGAGCTTGAAGATAACATCAAGGTGAAAAAAGATACATATAAGAACATTAACTTCAAAAGATTTCTAAAGTAGGATAGCTGAACTCTTCAAGGTTCTGGAACAATTTCAAGGAACTACATCAAATGAAGACAGAATAGTTTGGAAGCATCACAGTAAAGGCATCAACACAGTAAGTCTGTTTATATAGCCTTCAATGATACTGGACAACAGATCATTTGGCCTAAGAAGCATATGTGGAAAGTTAAATTCCATAAAAGGTAGCCGCTTTCTCTTAGTTGGTTGTTGAAGATGCATGTTTAACTCAATATAATTTGAGGAATGCAACTGCTCAAATGCTATTTATGTGAACGAGCATTAATCATCTTTATACACTGTGAAGTCAGTGATCAACTATGTCAACTATTTCTAAGTTTGAAAGGAATCAAATGCGTTATGCCAAAGTCTATGGAACCACATAGGAGGGACTGTGAGGCAGAAGAGATGGTGGTGAACAATTCCTGATTAATGTTCACATATTGCTAAATACCATTTTGTGCACACATCATTCTGAAATCAAAATTGTATCAAGCAAGCAAATAAAGGGAATCAAGGAGTTATAGCTAGTTATTCGCCAGATGCAAAACTTTGACAGTACAACGAATCAGTTGGGAGACCATGGAAACGAAGGAAAGCCCCCATTGTGTCGCAAAACACATTATCAGAGTATATATGGTAGAATCATTATCATGTCCTACAAAAGAAAATTTGCAAAACACTCTGAATCTTGTCACAAGAAAAAGCATCTTTAGATAAGCCTTCACAAACTATAAGCACAACCAACTCAGAAAAGGGCTTACTACGAAAACTCAAATGGCCCAGAGGAATTGTGAATATCGTTCAAGAAATCGTAAGCTTATAAGGATATTTCAACATACAGCGCATCTGCACTTGGCTGCACCAAATTTATTCAGTCTAAGATCAGCAAAAACTGTGCCTTACTTCTTGAAACAAGACAGACAGGAAAGAAGCAAAAAAGAGCCACATGAATACATGCCTTTTGGTCTCAGATTAGAATAACTCTCTTTTTGCTTGCTCTTTACAGACTTCTTAATCTACAACTATCCAACTATTCAAAATGCAAGCAGATTGCATTGTTAATCACTTATAAAGACCATAAGAACAGAAGATTGCAAATAAGTTCATGCTTAACTTGAAGAAGGTGCAAGCCAAAACAACACCAGCACCAAACTAAAAGTTCTCAAACTGAAGTAGAACAGACGTCTATTCATGTTCAAACTGACGACTGTAGAAATTAAGCTGATAAATTTTTAACATAAATATCAATTGTATAATGCTAGATACATATGTGTTGGTTGACATTTTATAGTGAACTAAATACGCTGAAATTGTATGAGGATTAAAGCAAAATTAGATTACTTGGAAACTAGAGATATAGTATATAAATGTGATAATGTGAACAACTATCCAACTGTAGGAAAATTTCAGCTACAAAACTTAGCTAAAATATGAACTTCAAGAAAAAAAGAAGAAGAACAGTCAAGAAGGAAGGAAGAGTACCGAAACATTAAGAGTAGATCACCTGTTGCATTCCAGTCATGATAGCAGCCAGTTGTTCTTGAATCCTCTTGGCTACTTCTACACTGATCCGGTTGTCTACTTCCGTATTCAGGTGCTCAAGTTGCTCTTCCAACTTCCTTTGCAACTCTTGTTCCATGTTACTTTTTAATTCAGCAGCCATTTGTCATGTTCTTCTTGCAACTTTCGACTCATCTCAGCTTGCATTTCTGCTTGCATTTCTTGACGCACAGTTGCCATAGCAGAAGACACACTAGCCTCTTCCTCTCTAATAAATATATTTTCACCATCGATTCCTGGAAGAAACTGCAAAGGAAAAAAAATATACTGAGAAAGCATAGTATTGATACTTGTACCAGTCAATTTAAGAAATAATATATGTGGCAAATATATATATGTGTAGTAATTGTCTGTATTTTCATGCCTGCAGATAAAGTGTCTAATTGGTGTGGCTATCCACTTCTCTTTTAGTTTAAGCTACTTGGCTTGTGTTTTATATGTGTATTTGCTACATCTTACTTGGTTTTAATAGATATCACTTGGCTGAAGTAGAGTTCAATGAGGAATATCCCACTTTTCGTTTAAATTGTGTTTTATAAGTTTCCAAATAACTCAATGCAATTTATTAGCTGAAATTCTATTCTGTCAACTCACTGGCATTCACATACAGGAAACGCCTCAGCCTTGCAGCAAAACAAACCTTACTGGTGTTCAAGGTTCGTCATTTGTAATTAAGCTGCATAGAAGTCATCAGTCTAAGAAGGTTGTGGAAAAAAGGCAAATTGAGATTGTAGAGCTGTTGAACAACAACCATGAAAGGAGCAGAAGTAATTTAATGACGGAAAATGGAGCAGTTACAAGGTTAAATCCTGGTTTAATCGGTATTTATCCGGTTCATGCAAATGTAAATGCTGATGTTGGAGTATGCAGAGGCTATATCCCTCACTTATGTAATGGTAAAGTGAACAACACTGAGATGACTCAGGTTTAGGAGCCACAGTTCAAACTGTTCTGTAGTTTAAAACAAAGTTAGCAGGAACCATCAAACGGAGGTAGTTACACTAAAGGGAAAAATAAAAACTAACTTGCACTACCACTTTCAGCTTCTGGAGAAGGATACACACTTCCGTCCAGATTTCTTGATGAAACTGTCTCTACAGAAGGTCTCTGCAAAGGGCTTGATATTTGTCCTGTCTCTATAGGTTCTTGAAAAGGATTATTTGATTCTCCTGTCTCTAGGGATGCTCTAGTATTTCCCCTTAGCTGCAATTGTGGCTGAGACGTTGCTCCAGAATTGCCACGTCCTTGAAAATAGCCACGTCTACGGCCAGTTCCACCTCGACCTTTGCCTCGTCCAATTCCTATCATGTGGAGCCTCCTGCATGATATAGAAAAAATTAGTAAAAACAAAGGCACAATTAGGGGTAAGATCTTATCATTATACAAGAAAAATTGAAATTAAGCTTAGTGCACGTAGAAGGCAGGTAAGAGAGAAGAGAGTCCACTGTGTCTGTAGCAGAGATCAAACGACAGAAAGGAATTAACACTTTCTCCTTTTCTTCTCAAATCATCGCTTGATCTTATCACTGTGAGCACGTGATTTTTGCCCTATATGAATTACTCCCAGAAATTCAAACCAAAATAACTTCTTTCAGTGTTTGCAATTTTGTGGATTTTCGTGACATTTTCTGTTAATTGTTTGCATTTTTATCTGTGCATTTTAATTAATGAAAATACAAAAATATACATTGCATTTGCATTTAGAATTTAATTTTATATTTTTTTAGATTAATTGGTAAATTAGTGTTTTACAAAACTGGAAAATCACAAAAAAAAAAGAGAAAAAAAATGATTTATCTTTGCATTGTTTAATTTTTAGCTTTGAATTTTGTTAGTTTCCCTTTAATTTGATATTTAATTAGTTGTGATAATTATTAGAGTTAATTAATTTAATTTGGTAGGATAATTTGGGTTAGGAATTAAGTTACGTTTTATTTTTTGTTTTTTAAAAAAAGAAAAAGGAATTAAAAGAAATTAGAAAAAGGAATTAAAAAAGAAAGAAAGAAGAAGAGAATCAGCTTGGGCCAGCTCTTAACCAATCCACCCAGGCCCAGGTTGTTTTTAGCCAATTCACCATCTGATCCAAGCCCAAAAGTCCCCACGCCCGGTCCGGTCCCCCTACTAATCGAAACGACCCCGTTTTGCCTGTAACAAATCCCAGCCGTCGAGGTTCCTTGATCGAACGGCTGGGAAGCTGGGATGTTTTAATATAAGAGTGTCGAAACGTGCCCCCTACCCCCTCTCGTCTCCCGTCTCTCACCCCTCGAAACCCTAGTGAAACCTAGCCGCCATCGATTCCCCCATCGTCTCCACCGCCTTAAGCCCGGCGGCGAGTCTCCGATGGCCACCAAAATCACACCCTAAATTCCTCTTCCCCTCCACATCCCCAATCCACAACCAAATTCATTTGAATGTGCTCAGAATCCTTCGAATCTGAATTTGAGGTCACGAACCCTAGCGCCGCCCTCATTCCCTCCGGTGGCGACGCCGCTTCTGTTTTACCCCGGATTAAGACCATAGACCCACCATGACACCCTATCTCCAAATACCCAACCCATTTCCCTCGAACATGACCAGAACCCTTCGAATCTCAAATTTAGGGTTCGAGCCTTAGAAGCCATAGCCGGGTTCGTTCATGCAAAGACATCCCTCAAGGTTCTCTTCACATTCAGGGTCTGTTTGGTCCTGAAATAGCGTTATTTGCTTGTTCTTGGCAAAGAACAAGCGGATGACATTATTTGGGGATTAAATTAGAAGGTCAGTCAAGTTCGAGCCGATTCGGTGAGTTTCTTCTTTCCTTTTGTGTTCTTTCTTCTCCCCTCTTCTTTGCCTGGGTTAATTCAATTGAAAATCGACCAAAACTTCTGGCCAAGCCAAAACCCAGCCCATCTATTCTCTTTCAAGTTTTGATTTCCTTTTGTTAACGGCTTGATAAATTCTGATTGCACTTTCTTAATTTAGCTTTAATTTGATTTAATCAGGGTGGTGTGATAATTTAGTTTAATTCAGCATTAATTGTTAGTTCAGTTTAGGCTTTAAATTTGGTGAAATTGTTTATTTGCTTCTTTACTGGTTGTCATAATTTGATAAAGTTGAGTCATTGGTTCTTTTCTGCCGTTTGGGCCTTGAATTCATTTCCGAATTCATTCCCAGGAATTTGGAGTGACTTCTTAGGACCAGGCCTGGTTTAACCATTGGGTCATTTGACCCATGACCCATAGGTTTCAGAAGTAATTAACAGGGGTGTGGAGGGTAGTTTGGGTAGTCTAGGTTAGGGAATCTTTTCATAACTGAAATAGGAAGTTTCTAGTAGGGGTTTCCAGCCAATTTCAGGCTTTTGAGTGGTTTACTTGGAAAACAAGTCAGAATTTTAGGGAGTCCTAAGCTAAAACAAGAAATTAAAAGGGACCTAAGGGGTAAATAAAACTTGCAAGGGCTGCCCTAGGTGTTGGCCTATAAAAGGCATCATTTCTTGCCTTAGAAGACAAGTTGGAGAGGTAGAAAATCCGAATAAATCTCTGCAAATTGGAGAGATCTGAAAAGGGTTTGAATTTCAAAATTTCAAAACCAAAAACAACACCAATACTAAAAGAAACTGTTCCATTGAAGTTCCTTGCCATATTTCGAATTCTAGCCCCTTAATGCATATATCTAGTTCATCTAAGATTGAAAATGGTTTGAATTTCCTGGCTCGTTCAGTGATTGAGATTTAAAAGGTTTCTGGGATCACTTTTCAAATTGAACCTGGTCTGTTTGAGCTGGTTATTTTGGTTTACTGGTTGTGTCAATTGCTGGATCTCGTTTGATATCAATCCTGGGCTTTGAGACCAATTTTTGAGCTGCTATTACCTGTTGGCTGCTGCTACTGATCTTTTCCTCTTCATTGTTGTAAAATCCAGGTACACTACCCTGAATCCGATGCAATGTAGACATCAAGTTGCAATATGAAATGAAGCTTGCTGTATGATTTTGTGTAGAATTTGCTGTTTAATGTTTTGTATTTCGAGTAGTGTCCTTGATTTAGCTAAGGTCCTCATTGTAAATAAATCTGGACTGTACTGGACTGTTGAACTGTTGAGTCTGTGTGTATTCATCTAAAACATTAGCCTTAGTGTAGCGTAATTTGGTTTCTCATGCTGGTTTAACCTTTAGAAAGCATTGTGAAATTAAAACTGATCTTACAATCAGAATGTATGCCCATATCAATGTCAAATTCGCACCTGATAGATGTGTATAGTAGTGCAGCACTTTAGTATTGATACCAGCAATTTGATTTTGAAATCAGAGAATTTTTTTATTGCGTTGTCTCCTTGAGCATTAAGACTTCGATGTAGATGTTAATTACCTCATGTTAATTCATTGAACTCCATAAGTAGTTGTAGTGATTAGTTTAGCTTTAACACAATCTGAGTATGAAATTGGATTTTTAACAATGAGTAACTCGACGAATATGAACAAGCTGTACGTGATCTCCTTTATTACAAGATCAACGAAAATGATTGGAACAATTTGAAACAAGTTGAAATTCCGTTTGGTTTGGGATCTGCTGACAGATTAAGGCCCAACAACTTATTTGTAATTAAATTGGGCTGCAAATCTATCGATGCACAGTCCCAGGTCCAATTTTAGCTCACATTTCGTTTGGACCTGGGCAAGGACCCAATACTGGATAACTTTTGGATTGATAGAATTCAGACTTGATTTTGTTGCACCAGGCCCACGTTTGGGCAGTGTTTCGTGCACTAGCAGGATTGAACTTGTTTAGGGCCAAGTGTGAAGGCCCAAAATGTTAAGAGCTGGACTTCATAACTCTAAGTTGGTAATTTGGGTTTAGGGCTCACTAGTTAAGTAGCATGCTCGAATTAAGAGGTTCTCCTTTTGTTCGAGTGTGGACTTGAACTGGAAGTCCAAATTCTCTGATTACTTTAAATAGTAACGATTGATAAAATCGATTAAATAGGATTCTTTGGAGACAAAATTACGTAGAAAATTATAGCTTGCTCTAGGATGTCCTTTAAATAAAAATGAGACGAGCCTCGCCGCACAAAACATATAAATTGCGGGGCCCTCATCAAATGTTTTTTTTATTAAAATCTTTAGAAATTCGGGACGTGCCATTTAGCAAATTTTCATGGCCTCCCGCAAAGTTAACAAGACGCTAGCCACTTTAGGCGTGCTTTTTAATAATTTTACCTTCTTAACTACGGGTGTGCATTTCATGCGACCCAAATCCAAATCCCAAAATGTTGAATAAGAGGCGTCAAGGATCCGGGTGTATTTCATGTGACGTGATCCAAAAACACGCTATTAAACGGCGTTCACTTTCATAAAAAATTTAATTAAAAGCGGTTAAACAATTCTGAAATTGCAATAGGATAACATGTATTAACATCAGACTTTAGCCAAATATAGCAGTTGAGCGACCGTGCTAGAACCTCGAAACTCGGGAATGCCTAACCCCTTCTCCCGGGTTAACAGAATTCCTTACCCGAATTTCTGGTTCGCGACTGTTAAACAGAGTCAAACCCTTTCCTCGATTCGGGATTCAAACCGGTGACTTGGGACACCATAAATCTCCCAAGTGGCGACTCTGAATTCTCTTAATAAATGAATCCCGTTTCGATTGTCCTTTAGTTGGAAAAACTCCTTTTATTATACCCTTCACGGGGTGTAGTAGTGAAAAAAGGAGGTGTGACATGGCTCAATGGTGTTCTTTTCCTCAACGATCTTGCAGTGCCACATGTGCTGAGCTTGGCACTTGTAAGGGACATCGTTGTCCTGAAAGTCTGCTCTGAAGTGACTCATCTTGGCAACCCTTGGTACAACCTACTTCCTACCTGCTTGCCTCATAACTCGGATAGGGACATACGGGTATATTCCCCTCAACCCAATCAACACTAAGTGTGGAGCGTCCCTGGATCGGATGATGAAATCATCTGTTGGGAACCACTCAAACATCCATTGCACTTGTTCCTCGATCAGATTGTCGAAGAACTCTACCCACTCTTTGGCACTTTCTGGCTGAGCAAACCTGTCCGGAATGTAAGTCATCCGCTTGGGGTGATGGAAGGAAATATGGTCGTTCCAAGCCCTTCGCAGAAGTTCTTGGTGATACTGGCCCCTTTGTAGATGTTCTAATAATCACAACTGCAGCAACAGGTTACAACCCTCGAAATGCTTGATCCCCCTTTGACAGCACTCCAGAGCCCTGTAGATGTCGGCTATGATCATGGGGACTATAGTGTATGTCTGTCCATTGATCCCTCCCATCAAAATCTTGGTGACCATGGCTAATCTAGTATGGATTCTTCCCCTTTTCATCGGGAACACTATAGGGACCAAGAAGCACACAATGAACACGAACACTCTGCGATGGATGTGTCCCAGAGAAGTGATAGAAAGCTCATCATGGAAGGTGCGGTAGGACTTGCTATGGCCATATCTCTCATACAGGTGTTCGAAGGGTATGTAGGATTTCTTCAGGCATTCCAAGTCAGCATTTTTCTTCAGCCCCATCATCTTTAGGAACCCTTTACCAGTACGGTTCTCCGGTACCAACAACCCAGGGCTATCCCAAGTCAGTCCCGCAAGTCCCCCAATTTCTTCTAAGAGTGGTGTCATTTCCATATCCCCAAAATGTAACACAGCCCTTACACTGTCCTAGAACAAAGTTGCAGCCTCGATCAGCATATTGTTTGGTTGAATGTCTAGCAGAGAAGGTAAATTGGCCAGGTGCTTTCTCACATGTTTCTTGTCACTTGAGGAAAGGTCCTCCCACCAATCTAGTAGCAATGGTGGAATGTTGCTGACCATGCCGAATCTGGAGACCTCGTGCCTCATTTTCTGTAAAACAAAAAGGTTAGTCCCTTCTCCCCCACCAGACTCGACTAGTTGTACATTCATGATTAGCATATTGGCATTTAGTTCTCCAAATTAATGCACAGAACGTGGATATGTCCGTTGGGATTATGGAAATCCCGGCGGACTTTGGATAAGGCTCGTCTTAAAGGATTATTATGTGGACAACATATTAATCCGACTAGGTTTGACCATGATGCATGCACAATTACAATAAGAGTAAGGTTACTATAGGGTTCTAGACTGGTACCCTCAAGCGGACAACTTGAGAGGGAAAGGCACAGAACCGTCGACTGCACCGCTGATCGACTAGTTTTACTGCAAATAAGCCTTTCCGAATTTAAGGGTAATAAATTGGAAGAGCGCAACCACTCATCAAGCGTTGCTATAGGATTTGATACGCACGAGTGGAATATGATGTGGAGCATGATTTATGCAACAATAAATAGCATGTTGTCAATTATTTGCACGTAAAAAAACAGTAAATGCAATATTTAAATAATTGAAAGACGATTACGGAGAAAGAAAACAAAGAGATAAATCAGTTTCAGGAAATAAAGGAATCATAAATAAGCAGTTAAAACCAAATAAGGGGGAGGGTGCACGGGATAAAGCATGTTTAAGACTAATTCAAAAAAATAAGTTCGTTATGGTAAGAGCCTAGAATATCCCCAGCGGAGTCGCCATGCTGTCGCGCCCCCATTTTTCCCTTCGCGGGGAAGTCCGGGTTTCGACATTTTTGGCAACTCATTTCCTTTTGGGAATTGGGTGTTTGAAGAGTCGCCACCTAACGGATTAAGGTGCGTTAGGGCACCTAGAGCAATTAACTCATGTAACCAGTTTGCATTACAAGAGATTAGGGTAAGGGCTCCAAATAACCTGATTTCACAGTTATCTAACAGCCTAAGGCTTGCCTAGGCGTGTATATGCAGTCATAATCTGGGAACAATTTGAAGTTCTTTTATCCTATAGGCATGCCGATCTAAGTGATGAAGGTTATAACAAGTGATTTTAGGCATGTTTACACTAGGACATGATATCTAGGTGTTGGACTATTTGAACCTTTTATACACAGTTACTTATTAAAAACGACATAGACATGGTTTAGAGCCAATGCAAACAAAGTCCTAAATCAGGATTTCTAATGCACATAAAGATGATCATTTTTTATTAAGCAAGATTACAGCAGCAGTTTAATGACATGATTTTCGGGTGATAATAACTTATGCAAAGTCAGAGAAAGAAGTGATGAACTTATAACATGTTTCTAATATGCAGAATATAAACGTGAGTGTCCTAAGGCAGGTTTTCTAATGCAAATATTATAAACTTAAGACATGTTTTAATGCAAGTAGCATAGCATATGGACCTAAAGCATGTTTTTCTATCGTGACATAAACTCAAAGCAGGATGGTTGTTGCAAATAAACATATGGACTAAGGGCATGGTTATGTATCCACCTAAAGCATGGTATCTACCCAATTTCCCACAAACATCATATAGGAATTCCCCCCCCCCCCCTCTTTTACTAGTTTCCCCCAATATCTGTTTACAAATAAAATTATTACAGACCAGAATCAAATGAATTACATAAGTAAATAGAAATTATGCTATAGGGAACCTAAATCAGGCTCAAAGTAAACCTGGAAATGCCAGGCCTTCAACAAAATCTCAGAAGCCAAAAGATGTCATAGCCAATAATATGTGCCTTGGTGTGTCAGAGTTCCCTAAGGACCTCAAGGATCCCGGGCAGTGCTCACACCAAGACCATTCTCAAATAGGGATTGATTATGTACAGCGTGGAAGGTCCAGCCTTGGTATGCTAGAGTTAAGAGAGATCTCAAGGATCCCTAAGCAGTACACATACCAGAGGCGCAGAACTTAATAATCTAAGAGTAGGGTGAGAGTGTTGGACATAGTGTTGAAAGACTTAGTAAAACAGTTAGAAGTAAAAGAGATCCAGAAACAACTTTTTTTTTAAAAAAAATATTGGGAGTGACCAGTTTTTGAGAAGAATACTAGGAGTAAAAGCAGTAGTTTTGAAATCACCT